AAGGATAATATACATACAAAAACATGTGCTACCAATACCTGACCAGGGAAGATCGAAAAGTGATCCAAGTTTTGGAAGTCAAGACGCACACGCTGTCCTCCAGAGTGCTCAACGCTGTCAAAATAAATGCTTTCAAAATATCACAAGAGCATGAATATATGCACAGGGGGGAACATATATATACTTTGAAAATGGATACGGGGGGAACATACATTGAGTTTAAATTTCTAACTTCAATTTAAGGATAAATGCTTTCAAAATATGATCACGATAATAGTGACCACATAGGAACGAGGAAATTTGAGCAAATTTTGACTTGTGAGACATCTCTAGAAGGTAAAATTTCATGTTCTAATAAAGAATTTTACTTTGCAGCATTCTCCTAAATTTCATAATATTATGCACCATCAAAAGTATAAACTTCTTAAATGTACTAAACTACTCAAGTGTATGCAGCCAATGTAAAACTTTCATGGAAGAAAAACATGACTACCAGTCCTATTGAAGGGGAAACAATAGTGTAAGTATCACGAAACAAGTAATAAGGCACTAGTCTATTACCTACTTTGCAGCAAAATGGGCATTTCCTTCAATCGTCCTTCCTCACAGCAAATCATGCCAACAGCTAGTAAGCTCCTCTGGAACCAAAACATCAACCAATCCGGAACAGTAAACATAAATTGCAGAAATGAAGCAAACTAAAATTTGATTCCTCAACTGTAAGAGCAAGAGAGCAAAAAATTTGCCTGGGATGCAACTGTAGGATCTCTAGGTTCTTCAAAGAGCCCAGAAGCAGTGAGAGCTCTTGCATGTTTTTTTATACGATCCTCAAGAAAATTGAACTAAAAAACAAGATAAATAAAAAAAATTAATGTGGAGAAAGTATGCACATCTATTCCATAAGAATATCACAGTACCTTATCTTCAATCCTATCGTACATAAACCTGCAGCCTGGCTCAGGTTGAGATCCATTAATCTGCAATGAACATCTTTTGATGGGTTGCACCCTCTTTATGATATCATCATCACTGTTATCACAATCATCATTTCCTACTTTCATGTCATTTGTGATGGACGGCCCATTAAGGGTATATTGCACTTCAAATTTGCTCTTTCTCTGTCCAAAGGGTGTTACTACATCTAAATGCTTTCTAGAGCCAAACATGCTCGCATTAGTCTTTTCTGATGATTGGAGTGACTCCTCTTCAAAAACATTGGGTCTACTTGGTGGGGAGCTGGGAATATCTTCTGCAGTTTTATCATATTCATCATTCAACATCCTGAAATGAAAATGTCAATTAATATATAGAGAAATTGTGATATAAAAAGATCAACTATTTATAGGAAATGGTAAAACTATTTGCATTCAAAAAACATAAATTACAGAACAATCAGCTGCTGCTTGTTGTAATTTTCTTCTATTGAAAATCATTTGGACAGTTAGTCATAAAGTACAAAAGCTTCCAATTAGCATTTGTCTCCATGAAAAATGAAATTGGAAGATATAATCACAATATACTGAAAGAACTGAGCAAATCTAAAGACTGAACTTAAAGACTATACGCACATTACAATATCATTGGAGTAGTAATGCAGACCAGATTCTTTCTTTACAATTTCATCTCTCTGCTCACGCTCTAAAAGCTGTTGAAATACACCCATGTCCGAACTCTTTACTGTCATGTCCAGACCTCTGTTACAAATGTATAAGATTCAAAGTTTCAAACTCTAAGCTCAACTTTCAATCATCAAACAAAAAATGCATTATGAAATTTAAGTCTTACATAAGTGGACATTTTAAATGGAAATGTGTTCCACTAAATTTAATATACAGAGTATTAATTAGCGAATGGTTTGTTCACAAATTATTGACATTAGGCCTAGAAATGAAATGAATTTTAAAAATACCATGCATACATATAAATGCTTCAATTTCTTTCAATCATTAATTGATTGATTGAAAGGACCTTGTAGTCCAATGGCACTACTATGACTCTCCCAAACGAGAGGCCACGTGTTCGAACCAAGCAGTAATTCTACGAGCTTTAATAGGTTGAAAATGTATGAACAGATACTACATTGTAATAGAGTTATTAGTGTTCACAAAATTTATTTGAAAAAAAAAAGAAAAAAAAATTCTTTCCATCACTGAGAGGAACAATTACTATTTTTTCTTCTGAGTCTACTCAGACAAAAAAAAAACCCAGAAATATAAAGGCTTCAGGAACTAAAAAATCTAGATAGACATCTTGACAGTTTCTTTAAATCTCTGAGAGGAACAATGATTTCAGACTTTTCTTCTTTTAACTTCACTCCTAACATTAACTCCGGTGAAAGATACCAGAACCAGTTATCAAAGCTTCATTCCAGTAAAAGAAAACTCTTTTAGGGCGTTATTATGGAAAACCTGACCTGTTCAATGAGAAAGCGTCCCAATTGGTGACGAGATCGGAAGCGCTGAGCTTGTATTGTATGCAAAATGTCAGGCCTATATAGAGAACAGTAAACAATTTAACCACTGTAGTTTATTCGTACTGCAAAACAATGAAGTTTATGGCGGTCGAATTATTTCACTGCATATATCTTACATTTTCCGAGGATTTCTCCGTCGTCTTGGAGGATGAACCCTCTCTTCTTGAATTCAGCTGCGATTTCCTCTTCCATGGCGATTTAGGTGGCGAAATTAGGGTTTTTGATTGGGTTTTTTTTCTCAGTAGTTAGAAGTTAGAACTACTGGCGCAGGGAAAAAAACTTTAGAATAAGAGGCAAATGAGCGCCAAAGATTTCCCCACCATTGGAGAGGGAGACCTTGTGGTTTCCAATTTCCAGAGTCTCCATTTCTTAAAAAAGATATTAAGCCCAATATATCCCTCCGTTCCAATTTTGATTACAACTTTATAATTACGAAGCAAAATCTCATATTTTTTAAAATTAATTTTGTAAGAAATTGGTATAAGAATATATAATAAAACTTACATATTAAAAAACTACATCAAAGTATCTACAAAACAAGATATGTCAAGATTATTTTATTTTATCAAATAATCTATTCAAATATGCAAATAAAGAAAAGTTATCGGGATGAAAGAAAAAAATATTGTAATCAATTGTGGGACGGAGGGAATATTTTATACCATTTTTATCTCAAAAGATTTGTCTACAGAACAAAGTGAAATTTTAATATTTTAAGTTCATTTATTTAAAGATAGATATATAAATTAATATTAAAATAAAATTTTCGTATTTGAAAACTATGTCAAAAGTTCTTCAAAAAAGATGTGTCCAAAATATTTTAGTTTATCAAATAATCGATGAAAACGTATAAATATCCTGCACCCCCAACCCCAAACCACCTTGCCATATAAAAATTGTTCTTATTTTCTATGGACGAACTTTAACCCTCAATTAAATAAAAAAATTTTTATGATCAAAGCTCATTTGATTTTACTTAAAAAACTCAAACTAGACAAATACATCGAGACGGAATAAATATTTCAATACCCATTTGTAAATAAAATAAAGTTAAAATACATAGTGTTTTAGACGTGGATCAACAAGTAATTTATTTTAGGACAGATGAAGTATTTTTGACAAATGTTAGAGCCAGAAATAGAATTCTTATTAAATTCACAAACTTACTATATATATTCATTTAAATTTCTACTTTTTTACTTCGTAATCAATTAAGATCATTTAGATCTCTTTTTTTAATTATTTAAAAACTTTAGATGGGCCATAAACATACCCTTGTTTCTTAAATCAATAGGGGCCCCAAAGGCTAAATGTTTTGCGTTTTCGAACAAGGAAAACACAAATGTGTTTGTACCATTCACAAACACAAATAGTTTTGGAAATTGCATTTCAAACCAATTTTTTGATACATTTTAGAAATGAGATTGAGAAAAAGGTTACCAAAATGGGAAATTGAAAAGGCTACAATTTTTAATTTAGAGGTTAAGGAAGATGTGGAGGTTGAAGATCTGAAAAACTGGTTAAAAAATTGTGCCCAAAGAAGAAATGAAGAAAGTTTAAAGATCAGAACATTTGTAAAAGCTAAATACTCATTATTCCCAAATTTGTAGCATAGTTTTTTTAATGAGAAAAAAAATACATTGTGAAAATACTTGAGTTTCAGTTCTTAAATTGGAAATGAATTCTTGTTCAATTTGATATTTATTGCATTTAGAGTTCAGAGTAGATTGTTGTATCATCTTTTAGATTATTCAATCTATCTACTCCCACACTTTAGAAGGAAAAAAAGGGCAAACCATGCTATCCAGGGGTTGATCTATGTAACAGATATAAGCACACTTACAGCAACTACTCAGCCAGATTAAGGGACTATCACATCCATTCCATGAATAAATCGTGCTTCTATAGTCCTAAAATGTCAATAAAATGAATATTGACCTAATTTTTTTAGGTTATGTTTAGTTCAAAAAAATTGGGAGAAAAAAAAGAAAACGGTTTTCCTTTAATTTCCTCGCAAAAAATGAGAGGAATTTAGTTCTCTCTCATCTTAGTACATTGCCTTCTCTTTTTGTTCTCCTTCCACTTTGTTTTTTTCTCTAACCAAACAAAAAAAAATATTTTCTCGTTTTCTTTTCCTTTTCCTTTTCCTCTATATATGTACTAAAACGCCGATAAAATGAGTATTGACCTATATTTATATAATTATTTGCCCCCATTTATAGCTGAACAAAAACCAGCCCCATCCTTCTTATAGACTAAGGTGGTGTTTGGCAACTAACATTTCATTTCAATTCATTCATTTCAATTCCAAAATTTAAAATCTTGAAATTCAAATAACAAGAGGAGCATGAATTTCAAATTAAACTTTGTTTTGAATGAGAAAAAATTTGACTTAAATACAAATTCAAATTTTTTAAGTTTCCCAAACATGGGATTTGAGCCAAATCCTGATTTAAAATCTAAATCCATGTTCCCAAAGATACCATAAATGACTTTCAAACCAGCCCAAGAGAACATGCATCCATACCAAATACTTGATACTTTATTAAAGTTGCGCATCCAAAGCACTACTAAACATGATGTGCTCAACCACATCACCACATGATCAAATCAAACCGATCAGAAGAAAAACATAGACTCTCTGTTCTTATTCAAAAACATGTCTCGGTTCAAAAACATGAAACCTTACAAAATGCAACAATTGGATTTGAAAAAAAAGACCACTCCGGTCCGCCACTGAATAGCTAAACGCCTTCTTACTTGGAAACGGAATCAATATGGCAGATCAAATCAACCACACGGTTGCTGCAGAAAAGAGAACACGAGTTAGCTAGAGCATTCGAAGGTGCAGTTTCTAACCGTGCAAAGAAACCATATTCAAATAACTTATTTACCTGTATCCCCATTCATTGTCGTACCACGAAACAAGCTTGTGGAAATTGTCATTCAATGAAATCCCAGCCTTAGCATCAAAGATGCTTGACCTGTAAGCAGTTATCACATGCAAACTTACTCTTCTGCAATTAATCATAGGGAAAACTAACTACTCACAGGTCGAATTAAATTAACCAGTGTTTATTTAACCTGCTATCACCAACAAAATCCATGGACACCAAGTCATCTTCAGTGTAACCCAAGATGCCTTTCAATGGTCCTTCAGATGCTTGCCTATAAATAAAAACATCAAATTTTGTAAATAAATAATATACATTTCCACTGTTGGAATTGACTTATTCTATAATGTATCAGGGAAAACATACTTGATAGCCTCCTTGATCTCATCATAGGTGGTTTTTTTCTCAGTTCTCACAGTGAGGTCAACCACAGAAACATCTACAGTAGGAACCCTGAAGGCCATTCCAGTCAACTTCCCATTGAGTGCTGGTAGAACTTTCCCAACAGCCTACTCAACAATGTATGAAAATTATGATCAAAAGACAACCAAATCAAACCAAAGTTAGTATACCCAATCCAAATACAAAACCAACCAAACAGAAATGATATTTTAATATTAAAAAAATCATCTTGCCTTAGCTGCTCCAGTACTGCTAGGAATGATGTTGAATGAAGCAGCTCTTCCACCTCTCCAATCTTTCATGGATGGACCATCAACAGTTTTCTGGGTAGCTGAAAACAAGTGCAGAGATAACATTTGTACAGAGATGAATAAATACTAAATATGATTCCACACAATGCAGGTGCCACAACTAACCAGTGATGGAGTGGACAGTAGTCATGAGGCCCTCAACAATGCCAAACTTATCATTAATGACCTGCAGTAACCAACAAACAACATAAGCATGCGTGCATATATCCACATTCCACGAAGGAAAGAAATTGTTTTTTTCTACAACCTTAGCCAACGGAGCAAGACAGTTGGTAGTGCAACTAGCATTGGAAACAATGGTAATATCCGGCTTGTATTCACTCTCATTCACTCCCATAACAAACATTGGGGCATCTTTGCTGGGAGCAGAAATCACAACCTTCTTAGCACCAGCCTAATCAAACCAAGTAGATAAAGGTCATTAATTCCCATTCAATCATCTATTCAATGCAGAAGAATACTATGATTAGAAGAAATCAAATACAACATGAATAAGGACCAAATGTATTAAGAACATTTGATCATTGGTCAAGATCAATCTACAACCCATTATACTGCACTTTCAAGCAGTGTAAATAGAGCAGGGATTATTAGTTAAAATCAGTGAAATGATCATCAACATTCAACAAGATACAAATTATAACACAAGGCCATTTGATTTCATGAATGAGAATAGAAAACCTTCAAGTGTGCAGCAGCTTTGTCCTTGTCAGTGAAGACACCAGTAGACTCCACAACATAATCAGCACCCGCTTCAGCCCAGGGGATCTCCTCGGGGTTTCTGAAAATCAATAGGTTACAATAAAAAACAGCTACAGCAAAAGCAATCCATCAAAAATAAACATAAAAAATCCCGGATCTAAACAAACAAAAGCAATACCTGCATCCATAGACCTTAACATGTTGTTCACCAAACAGAAGTGTCTTCTCGTCCTTGATCTTCAATTCATGGTGCTTCCATTGACCATGCACTGTATCATACTTGAACATGTACGTCTACAGAGTGCAAAACAAGACCATATCTCATCAGACTCAACAGATCTAACAACCTATATTCCGATAATAATAGTAAAAAACATAGATCCGAACCACACAAACAAGCCGAGCAGAAAGGGAAAAAAAGGTTACCATGTAGTCGGTGGTGATGAACGGATCGTTGACAGCCACGAGCTCAATATCATCTCTCTGGAGAGCAACTCTCGCAACCAGTCTCCCGATCCTTCCAAATCCTGAACCGAAAATCAACATCAAAAATCATGAAACGTCGAACAGGGAATCCAGAAATGAAAACAAAAAAAAACTGCATAAGATAGGAAGGCGGATGCGTACCGTTGATTCCGATCTTGATTTTCGCCATGGCGGAGGTTTAAGCGTGACAGAGAGGTTTTAGAGAGAGAGATGATGGTTGTAGGGTTGAAGAAGAGTAAGAGAAGAAGAGATAATGGATAGGGGAAATGGAAAGGATTTAAAAGGGCGATATGGCACATTCGAATATTCCAGAAGAAAACTGCTTATTTTTTTTCCTAGGGGTAAGCAGCTGGTTTATTTTTTCGGTGGAAAATGGCACTCCGTATTCGGTCGGTAAGAGCCTCAGGCCAGAAGCCAAATGGCACTCCGTATTTTGAGTTTGAGTATTTTTATTACTCCCTCTATTAAATACTAGACTCGTACCCGTGCTATGCACGGGCGGTGAAATTAATTATATTTGGTCATGAAATGAAAAAAATGATACGAAAATTAAAAGATAACAAATTATATTAAAAATACCCAATATAAGGTAGTGTACAGGAACGATCGTAGTCGATATGCAGTGTTATAAGTTTTGGAACACTTCTTTATAAACAACATTTGTAGTTTTGTTCGTTGACGGAAGGTCTTTATTGCAAATCAAGATCTTTAACCTCTCGCGACTTGTAATACGTGAAATTGCAACATAGAGTTGACCGTCACTGAATACCGGTTTCTTCAGTAGCATCCAACATGGGACAAAGATTGGCCTTGACTTTTGTTAATTGTCATAGCGTACGAAATCATGATTGGGAATTGTTTCCTTTAAAACCTAAAAGGAATTCTTGCATCTGACGGTGTGAGCGATAACCGTGGAATAACAATTTCTTGGCCGATTCTCTGAAATCATTAAATGTAGAGTTATTCGTTACAAAATGTACTTTTTTCCCTATATTTTAAAAAACATGTAGAATGAAAATTTATGATACCTCAAGCATCATCTCCCTAAGAAGAAGGGCACACTCACCTAAAATGTATTTGCACTCTCGGTCCCAAAGAATAAAGGAGGCATGACCAGAGACGTCAAAAACGTGCACATTAACCTTAAACACATCCGTTAAACCGCATTAATATTACATTCAATTCGCAGTATATTTTCATAAAATTTACTTCATAAGTTGTAGAATTAGTAAGTACAACTTACTTGTAAACCCCACGTGGCATCCTAAGATCACATCTCGAACATGTAAAATAAGAACCGTCGGGTATGACCTTCTTGTTGCATTCGGTGCACCCAGGTAACACGAATCAGGTGTATTATCAAGTGATGAAATCTCACCAAGAATCCAATATGTCTCGGGCTATTTATTTAAATAGTAAAAATCATTTAAAAAAATTAGGTTTGTATTTAAACAATCATGCATTTAAGATAGTACCATGTTTAATATAAATGTTTTAATCCGTAAAATTTAACCTTAGTTGTATCAATCAGAGTCTTCAAATGAGTGATTTTCAAAGGCTCATTCACATCTTCATTTCCACCATCCATCATCAAAGTATTCATGTTACTCACATCATCAACTTGTAAAGGTAAGCTATAAAAAAAAATTCTTTAATTAGAATTTTAAAAAACAAAGAAAAGTCGTAAATAGTATAAAGGGCAGTTTCGTATGGTACCTAGCTCGGAATTGATTAACCTAATCAGAGTTTCCATCGAAAATCATCTTTGTGACATGAAAAGAAGTTGAAACAGTGACCGAACCTGTCAAATTATTTAAATTAGTCCGGAATACATTAAACATCATTAACAATGAAACCGAAATTGATGAAAATTGAGGAAAATATTAAATGTTACCCATGTATCGCTTAGGCCGACAGAAGCTAAGAAGTAAGATAAAAGGTCCCGAAACATCTTGGGTCAAACAATTTAAGAATTTCTCCGCATACTCGCCCCATAATGTGCAAGCCAAATGATTGCCTCTGCATTTTTTCATTTACTTAATATTTTTATAAGAAATAGCTCTTATGTGTCATTTATAAATATGTTCTTATACTCATGATCTTCAAGTGTTATTTTCATTAGCTTCTCTTCTCCACCTCGTTTAAAGTGTGTTTGAACTTTTGATCGCCCAACAATTTTTCCTATGACATCTGCACCGGCCGAAAAATTTCATCAAAATATTTATTTGACTGCAAATTTGCGAAAGGAAAATATCTTTGAAAAATGTTTTGAATGCACAATTTAAATGCACAAATGTTTATTTCGAAGCAGAAAGTGTGAAGAATATAAATTTTTATTTGATTGCACAATTTGCAAAAGAAAAATAATTCAAAAAATTTCTTTTGAATGCACAATTTAAATGCCCAAATGTTCATTTGAAAACAGAATTTGCGAAAAGTGAAGGTAAAAACATTGAATGCAGAATTTGCGAAAGAAAAATAAATTGTTTTTTTTATACCGATGAGAAGTTGGTCGTTCAAACAAGATTGAGATTGAAGGTCCGAAAATGATTTCAAGTCGAACTTGAATTTGGGAAAATCTTTTTCACTAAGCGTCTTGACTTCTGTCTTTGGATAAAAAACTGTAGAAATTCATAAGGGAGAAAGTAATTAGTATGTTGAATTGTTCTGTGAATACAAAGATCTAACCCTCTTTATATAGGAAGAGAGTAAAGCATATAAGTAAACTTTTATTCATACTATAACAAGAACTAAGCAAACTAGGAAAAATACTAAACCGAATCCCAAAGGGATTCAGTTTCCTTCTTTGATCCGGATTCCTTCTTCTGTCGCCAACACCCCCCCTCAAGCTGGAGCATGGGAGTTCAACATGCCCAGCTTGGACATCAAAAGATTGAACAAAGCAACAAAGCTTGAGGAAGCCGCTGCCATCGTTGTCCAAGTGTCCTCTAGACACTTCAATTTTTTATTCAACGGAGACGCCAAGCTTTTCGAATCCACCGAATAATCAGTCGAGTAAAGGAACTTTCGAACCTTCACCGAATTCGAAACCCTTCTCGGACAACTTCTTTAAGATTGATGGTAGGCCGGGATTCCTCGACAGCAATGTTTTTCGTTGAAGGAGTTCATGATATTCTTTAGTGAGGGAGAACAATCAAAGAAAATCAAAACTTACAATATCCCGCTGGTAGGCATTGAATTGTGTATGCCCACCGGCAGGAGAAGAAGCGTGTTTGAGGTCTTAAGAATTCAAAACTTGCTCTGATACCATGTAGAAATTCATAAGGGAGAAAGTAATTAGTATGTTGAATTGTTCTGTGAATACAAAGATCTAACCATCTTTATATAGGAAGAGAGTAAAGCATATAAGCAAACTTTTATTCGTACTATATTTCTATTCCTACTATAACAAGAACTAAGCAAACTAGGAAAAATACTAAACCGAATCTCAAAGGAATTCAGTTTCCTTCTTTGATCCGGATTCCTTTTTCTGTCGCCAACAAAAACCAACAAAGATTTATACAAAGTTGTTTTCCATGAAAGGTAATTATCATGAACAAAAACATTTCGAATTCCAAAGACGCCATCTTCAACAATTTGGTTTTCAAAACGTTTCTTTTCGGGACTCTTAAGATGAGCATGAATCCTTGTCCCCTGCATGAAAAAGAAAATAATTAGAAATGAGTTTCGAAAAAACGTAAATATTGTTTCAGAAACTATACTAAGAAATTACGCGTTCGTCGTGGAAGATGACTTCCATGGAATCTCCGCCCTTAGACCAAGCCGGAACATGGTAAACGCGGATCACTCGTAACTTAAGCATCTATGTCGTTCGTCTGTTATCAATTTTGTCAAGCATGTGCCACATTTTATTTATAGGCTTTTTGGACATCTTGATATTCTTGTTGGTATGAAAGTTTTGTGGGTGATGGAGAATTTGGCCCTTGTTCGGTTAAATAATGTTTTAGGAGTGGTGGGAGAATCTTTTGCATTTAATGTCCATGTACACTAAGATTTTTTCAAATCTAAAGCATTAGATGGACTACATGCAATTTTCCTTATACTCCCTCCGTTCTTAAATTAAATTCATGTTTCTCACCATCACAATAACTGTGGTGAACAATGCGGCAATTGATGGAGCAGCACCTAAGTTCAAGTACAGTATTACCAAAGCAAAAATGACCTGAACGGGGAGCAACCAGATTCCATGAATGTGCCAGAAGAAGTCTCCTATCCTCTCGACATCTACATTTAGAAAATTGATGACTTTCCCATTGCTCTTGATATCATGCTTGATCAGTAGAGACTTCTTGTATGTCAACGCCATGAGAGCAGCTCTGATTCTAATGCCTATACGGTGAGCACCAAAATACCATTGTCTTTGGGACAATGATTCCATGGTTTTTGCAAAAAAGAACACAAACGCATGAAGTAATCCACGGTGCAAGTAGTTTGGATTGTCACACTTTTCTGATAAGAACTTCACAAAGCTCGTGATCAGCAAGAGACATGTATATGAAGCAATTGTGTTAACACCTACAACGTTAGATGAAAGAAGCAATTACTTCAACTTGCTTTCAGAAACGGTGAAAACAAAAAGAAATGTATACCTGCAAAGACCGCATTCACAGCAAGAGGCCACCGAACAGCTTGGAGTATGGCACTTGGAAGCGAAGGAGTTTTCTGCACCCGAAAGGCGTCTTCCAACAAAGATGAAGCATAATCAGCCGTATCCATTTCAGGAATCAATGGGATGTGTTTCAATCTCAATTTTTCATCACTTCCCTTTTTAAACATAGGATTAAGCCACATGAACATAGCATGGCTCCGAATCCCAGCACTGGAAAAGGGATCATGGTGCTCTTTTTGAAGAAATGGACGTTGAGCATCATTCCGCTTCGTGGCAGAAAACATGGGTAGCACATTGAAACACAACCCAACTGACAGTGGTAGAGTAACCAAATCAATGATGTGTGCATTTTGAAAAACTGATGGAGCTTTGATGAAGCCATAGAGGGTGAGAAGATGAAGAATGGCCAAAACTAGACAATATACCGCTGAAAAGACCCACCAGAGAATAAGCAGCAAAGGCCACCCATTATCTTCTCTGCGGTTTCGGTTTAATGTATAGAGAGATGCTAAACTAGCTGCAGTCCAAGTCAATGCTGAGAAGAAATAATCGTCAAAGGAAATGCTCTTACATATCCATATTTCACGCAGAGAAAATACCAGGTAAGCAATTGCTATGAATAAGTTCAATGCAACTACAATCTTCTTGAAGATGGTGGCTCTTTCTCTTGGTCTCGAAGCATTATCATCCGTATTTCCTTGTCTTTTATGCCTCAAAATATCCCTCAGGAACCACAGCATTAGCAGCATGAAAAATGCTGCTTTAATTAGCTTTATGATGATGTCCATCAGACTCAAAAATATTGTCCCCAACCTGCCAAAAACCCACAAAAGGCAAACCAAAACCAGGAAATAAAAAAGAAAATCACAGACGGGTAATAAAATTTATTCTTAAAAAGAAAACTCTATGACACACCATGTAACATGGAAATCAAGGATCATATGCTCAAATTTAGTTGTCCATTTGTTCCAACACCACAAATTTAAGGATGTGAATTGAAAAAAATATACTCCGTAATTGAAATTGGTTTGACCTACATTGCATAAACTAGCTTAATCTCCTCTTTTGGCCATATTTTTTATTACCGGATCTGTGAAGGAACCAACTAAAGAAAAAACAAGTTTGTGTTTGTAGGTCTAGAAAAAACGTTTCATACTCTGATATGCCCCGTACGTGAGAATGTTTTTTCGAGCCTTAACCATGAACATAATTTTTTTAAAAATCTTAATGGTCGTGATATTCGAACGCGTAACCTCTAGATCAACAGAGTTTGGTACCATGTCAAAAACCAACCCAGTTGAAAGGTCCAAGAAAGGTTATATAGCATCACACAATCATAATTCATTTACTAAATATAGCAACTTGGAAAGCTTTGAACTAAATCCAAACAGATGTTGTATAAAAAAACACATGAATGAAGAGTAATGATTTGAACAGTATTATATACGTAGTAGATAATAAAACCAAACCAGACAAACACAATATCTCAAACCCAAAAGTAGGGTCCAAGCAGAGGCAAAATGTAAGCAGAAATTAACTCTACCAAAGGAGTAGGGAGGTTGCCTCCAAGAGGGTTTGTTTGAACTGTATGAATGAAATTCACACATTAAATTTACACTGTAAAATTCCATTAAATAGGATAGGACGCAGGCCACTTTACTTTTATGGAAGACCGTATATTAAACGTCAGTTTCAATTGGTAACAGAGGAAAATATGGACAATAATGTCGACATTCATGTATTCATTCGAGGAAAAAGGAAAAAGTATTCGCTACGCAATCGGAAGTAAACTTCAACTGACACTCGAAATAGACTTTATAGGTCTAAAAAAAACCCACCTTTTCGGCTTATAGCTCCTCGGAAGCTCGAGAAGGGCAACAATGGCGACCGATCACGCGCTGAACCGCCCCATTCGTCACAGAACGCGGAGGCGTAACCGGCGGAAGAAGGGACATGAAAAAGCTGGCAGGATTAATCGGGAAGAAGAGAGTATAATAAATAGGGGACGACGAAGGGTTTGGGACTCGCGCAATGAATCAGCAATTATTGGGTCATAATGATGAGAGGAAAAAGGAAGGGAATGGAACAGAAGCTCGAAGCAGGAAGCATGGCGGAGGTGGGTGGGTCTCGGTCGGGGGGGCCAAGCTGAATATTCCTTTGGATTCAAACTTTGAATCTGGGAAGAGAATTGAGTGGAAGGTACTGTGTGGAGTAATGGGTAAAGGAGGCTATGGCCATGGCGGCATTCTTTCTTTCCACCAACTTCCAAAGACATGGATAAACTAACACTTGGAGTCCATGTGTTTTAAAATAATTTTATTTACAAAATTAAATTTTAAAAAATAAAATTTACATTTTTTAGAATATTTTTCATTAGCAGTCTCTTGGAAGAAAATTTCTCAAATATTTTTTATATGTAGACCATAAAAAAATGATCATAGAATAATTTTTAAAATATAGAGGATCACGAACATAATACCACATCCGTCTTAAAGTGGTTCACGCTTTTACCATTTGAGTTTTCTGATAACTTTGTTTAAAATTGTCTATATTGTTTTAAAATGTGTAATTAGTACTTTTTATTCCTATTTAAATTTATATATAAATTAATTTAAAAAACAATTTTTACATGTTCAAAAAATGAAAATGAATTTGGGACGGAAAGAGTATCTTGTAACATGTATACCGAACGAGCATGAAGAAATGCTCTCGAAGGGCCAGAAGAGTACATAATTGAAATCAGATTTAGGTAGTGATGCTGCGCAATTGGCAAAGATAAGAAGTGTCACGGGGTAAGATCCGACTTCGATTCCTAGCATTTGTGCTAAAAGACAACTATACAAAGTATACGATATTTACATGTAGTAGGTGCAGACATCACTTTGTTTACTAATTCACGAAGTTTAATTTATTTATTTTTTTAGTGATTGCCCCAATAGATCTCTTTTGAATTCACTTTTTTTGTATGGGTCAGTCCACTCTAATTCTCTAAAGCAAGAAAGTTCATGCTAGCCAACCAAATTGTCTTTGGATAAAGACTAGTTAGTTGGACAGTGACCAATTCCTCAAAGTATCTTTATAATCTTTGGATGAAGTACCCAAGAAAGACACAAACAAACACGTGAGCGCCCAACCTAACCAACAACCAAAGAATTGCGCAAAAAAAACCTATTTTTTCAAATTATTTTATTTAAAGATTTAAATATTAGAATAAAAATTTAAAATAAAACGTATATATTTATAAATAATACGGAGTAGCAAAAGTTCTATAAAATAATATGTGAGAAAATTATTTTATTTTATTACATAAACAATGAAAGTTTAGAAATAAATAAAAATTCTAGTGATTTTTGAATAATGCACATTTTAATCAATTGTGGGACGAATGAAGGTTTTTTAGGATGATGACGATGAAGAATGCTCACCTTGCAGAATTTATTTTGAAGAATAGGGAAAGGAAAGAGAAAAATACTCCATCCGTCCCATAAAAAATTTCCCCTTTCGTTTTTTTCCGTCCCAAAAAACACTTTCCATTTCTCACAAAAAGTCTATTATACCCCTCAATCCCAAACCCTAACCAAAGGCTACCCTATCCAACCATTACCCTTTCTAATCTTCTTCTCTCCTCTTCACCACCGATTCTGATTCTCACAGCTTCTCTCATCTTCTCCTCTTCTCTCATCTTCTCCTCTCCTCTTCTCCTCTCTGAATCGATGAAAAATCACGACCCTACGATGCCCTCCTTTCAATTACTCAGTGAGAGTGATGGGGATACATCTGTTCCTCGTCAAAGATCCCCTCCACCCACTATTCCGAAGAGGAAATATGAGGAGATTTGGGGATCTGGCTTGGATGGAGGTGGATCAGACTCCTCTGAGACGGATCCAACTTGGAATTTCTGAAAAAAGTATTAAGGGGGGGGGGGTTACTACTCTGACCCTGAAAGGAGTTACGAATAAGAGGATGGAGAAGAAAACTCAGAATCTATGACATCTGCAGAGATCTTGGACATGTCTGAGAATGAGCTCAATTTTTCAGAAGTTACTACAGACCCGGCTAAACGTAATCGTTTCCAAGCAAGTAAGATGTATCTACTTTGATTTCCTTGCATACAGATAATTGATTTTTTTGGCGAACTGATGATGCAAACTTGATTGTGTTATGAAAACAGTTCTAAATATGTGAGGTGTTTTGCTGTAATGTCACCATTTTCATGTTGGAGACTTACACAAACCACGTTTATGCTGGTATGGTCTGTGCTGCTTTTGGTCTACCTCTGTTTTGTTGTGTGAAAGGCTACGTATTTTCTGGTGATTTAAGTTGTATTTTGTGATTCTGAAAATTCACAATCTTCTGTGATTCTGTGGTTATGTGGTTCTATAGTTCCACTACACTTTTCCTAACTTAGGACATATACTACACTTTAGAAACTACACCTATTATAAACAAAAGACAAATACTACACTTAAGATACTACACTTCTTCTTAACAAAAGACAGATACTACACTTTACATACTACACTAAACTGGTTCTGAAATGCAGTTACTGCACTTAAAAAACAGACACTACACTTTTTCTAAATAAGGACAGATACTACACTTTAGAAAGTACACTTGGTATAAACAAAAGACAGATACTACACTTCAGATACTCCACTTCTTCTTAACAAAAGACAGATACTACACTTCTTCTAAACAAAAGTACAACCTAGCAAAAGTGCAAAAAACAGGTAGTTGGTAGTACTTTTACATTTTGTACCCTGACCAAACTGCCTGGTAACAAAAGTTAGATGCTACACTGATTACATTTGTGCAAAAGCATTGACTTGGGAGTACACGAAAATATTGTACTTTTCCCATGCCCTGTTATACATACAAAAAAGAACTTCCAAAAGTTTACATTTGTTCTTCTAGAAACTATTTTTCTTGTTCATAAACTTCCTAGCTGACCCCTACATTCTCTGGCAGCCTTCCTTCCCTAACTAACATTGTTTTCCCAATGTGAGGTATTTTGAAGTTGTTGCCACCTTTGTTCTTTAAAACCTCACCCATAACTCCTTGCAAAGTTAGGAAAACGTTATTCGACTTCTCATGAGGGATTTCCTCAAATGATATGGTTATATCATTGATCAAGTCATTTAAATTTCTAGGAGCTGATTGGTCTTGAATGTTGTCAATTGACCTAAAGAAACCCAGATCAAGTACATTTAAATCTGGGCTATTAGGTGGTTGAAATTTTAGTTCAATGTTCCAATCTCCTTTTTGTGCAGCTGCTACAAACTCTGGATTATTTCCATCCACATGTGGTTTTGCATTATCTTGCTGAATGATAACATCTTTTGTTGGTCTAGGCCATTTTTCCTTGATTGTTGGCAGTACTTTCTGAATCAACATGTTTTTCATGACATGCATGTCTATAATTGGCACTGCCTTTACTTCAAGTGTTCCTGCTGGCCTATTTTTAAATAACCTCTTTGCTTCAGCAAGAAAAATGAATGGGAAAATGCCAATTTTCACATCCCAAAGTAGACCCCCATCAGCCCCATACCTAGGCCTACCCACTGCAGCTAAAAACATTATTTTTGGTATGCGTGTTTTTGATTGAACTGTTCTGTAAGTGTCTTCTTCCTCTGGTAGTGCATAGAAGGTGGCCCTTTCCATATTGAACCATTTTTCATCAATATGAATATAATCACAAAAATTGTAAAATGCTGGGTTCAATGGAAGTGACGAGGGAGAAATATGATCCAAACAAAAGGTAAGTCTTTTTAGCTTACGTGGGCCTGACAAAAAGGGCTTGATTGCATTGGAATGTCTCCTTATGGTCTTCCTTTTTAGCCATCTCTGGACAGTAGATTTATACACTTCCATTGCATAGCCAAGCGCACGTATGTTCTTGCGCCTATTAAATGGAACTACCAACATCTTTGGAATGTTCACAGGCACTTCTTTTCTACCAGAGTTGCCTTTCCACTTGCAATGAACAGAAATTGGTAGACCATCTTGCATTTGACCTCTAGCTAAACTCCATATTTTCCCTACTATTTTTCTGGATATGTTGAACTCTCCTGCCACTGCTTGAATGAGACCACGCTGAAGTTTGCCATGTTTATAAAACTGTAGTAACCTATCCACTATTCTTATTCTTCTTTCGTTGCACTTTTCCCCAACTTTTTCTCGTGAATGTGCTACGTTTTCTTCTCTGTTTGTAGGAGTTTCAAGGCTGAGGAAGGGGACTTGGAGAAGTGGCGGGAGGGGGTGGTTCTCACTGGCAGAATCGTCCCCTGATTCTGGAGAAAGTTTCTCAAATGAAAGTAAAGATGGCGACTCCATAAAGAAGAGAAGAAAGAAAGAGAAGAAAGCATTGAATGCATTCAATGCTTTTTATTTATAAATGTATTTCTAATTTTGGGTTGATGGATATAACCCACTGGTACCACCCGGCAAGTTCACAAGCGCCCAGGGGTATCGAAGTCTGGCCCCGCCTGACCTCACCAACCCCGGTAGACTAACCGAGTGGATGTCGGGGGTCAGACATGTGAGATCGTGACTTCATTCGCAGAGAAGGCTTGAAAACTTTGTCTGACAAAGGCATGCATACTGACCGGGTGAAAATTGACCGGGCAGAGGAACAGTAACGTCGAGACCTGCTTGACGTGCTTAGTCATTATTATAAATATGACTAAAGGCCTCATTTGGGAGGCATGCTTTAATTAATCCGCACGGCTTGTAACTTTGTAATCGGTCCCTACATTATTAATAACTACTCGGGTTACAGGTGTATCCACCTACAACCCTTCCGCTCTTCGTAACTTAGCATTACGTTGGTTTTACACCATCAAATCGGCGCCACTAGTGGGACCTCTTGACAAAAAGAAGCCATGACGAACAACAATAGAGAATCCATCATTTCCCAGATTTCAACACCGGCGGAGGCCGTTACCCTGATGCCAGTAGGAATCACATCATTACCTTCTCTTTTCTCCCCATGATCACCACCTTCACTACTCAAACAACGTCAGTCACGCCCTCCAAAACTTTGGACAATTTATGCCCATGTTCCAGCAACCCGGGGGATTTACTCTTTTCATCCCTGGGATGTATCCACATGCTCTTAATGCATCTATTCCCAGCACGCTAGGGCATCCCCTGCCGTTTCAACCGGTCAGTACCACCTGGGCAGTCATCCCGACAAAACCACCCGGGGAGCTGGAAGGGGCAGGTCCTTCTCGGTCCACGAGGATCAGATCCCTCAAACTCCCCACTCAGGTCACACCCGACGGGGAAGTGCGCTTTGTACGCAGCAGGGACGAAGACTGGGATATTCCCAGGGGCCAGAAAAAGCTGCAGGGCAAAGCGGTCCAGCCGGAAGGTTCACGACGGTGAGCGTTCCAGCGGCTGGGACACGAGGGGCGGAACTAGAACCGACCGGCCAAGGAGCGGTTAGGGGTGAAGGTTCCCCAGCCAGGCGCATTCTACAAACTAAGAGGTGGTAGGCGACCCGGTCGAGTCGGTCGCTCTGACCTTCGTCTCCATGATGAGCCCCAACACAGCAGGGTGCCTAGAGCGGAGGGCCAGGCGGAAAGCCAGCTCAGAGTGGCGATGTGCACACATGCTGAACCATCCAACCACCGGGTGGACATGGCGGAAGAACGTTTGGAGAGGTTCTTGAAGAGAGTTCGTCGGGAGGAAAAAAAGAAAGTGGCGTTGAACAACCATTTTATCATTCACTAAGACCGGATATGTACCATGCCAATGTTTAATAAAGTTGATCTTTTTTCTGAAAAGACTTCTCGCAAGACCGGTAAGGACAAGGTTACAGATCTATCCTCCCGATCAATGTTCAATCGAATTGAGCATTTGAAAAAAAACAAACCAACCTGGTCAAACGGATGAGCCGTATCGACACGGTCAAAAAATAACAGTTGAACTTTTTCTGAAAATACTATTTACAAAACTGCCCGGTCGGGGAAGGTTGCTGACCATCTGCCCGGTCAGTGTTCAATCGAATTGAACATTACAAAACCGCCCGCGCGGAACACCATACTTTTTCAGAAAAGATGGTAAGATCGGTCGAGGAAGGTTGCAGACCTTATGCCCGGTCAGTGTTCAATCGAATTGAGCATTACAAAACCGCCTGAGCGGAACACCATACTTTTTCAGAAAAGATGGTAAGACGGGTCGGGGAAGGTCGTAGACCCATCCGCCCGGTCAATGTTCAATCGAATTGAACTAAAAAAATGATAAAAGTATGTGACACAGGCCCGGCCTGGTACGCTGGTCTCACACCAGTCTTGCACATATTAGAAAGACTGCGACCTAGTCGAACTGGTACACTGGTCTCACACCGGTCTCGTGCAGTATAAATGGAAAAATAAAGAAAATATGTAACCGAGTCGAACTAGTACACTGGTCTCACACCGGTATTACACATATTTTCCAACAGGCATGAGCCCAATTGAATTGGGTACACCGATCGCACATCAGTTTCAGAAAAAAAGAGCCTGGTCGGACTGGGAACATCGGGCCTCCCTCAATCTTCGATATCTTTCTTTGCTGAACACTTTACCCAGGACAAAGTTAGGGTGAACCACCCTACCCGGGAAAAATCAAGAAAAACTAGAAGTGCTCACCCGATCAAGATTCAGACCCGAGTGAGTGACAGTGTCACAATGGATTCGCTTAACTTGGCTCGGAGGACTTTTCCAAGAATACGTTCCCCCGTTTGCTTGGACGAGGCCAGGAAGGGAAAGAGTTGCCTTGCTCACTCGGAGGACTAGAGCTTTTGTTCACCCGGGTGAAAGAAAAAATGACTCACATGATCAACTATGAAGCATAGCCCGGGCCGGCTCTGTCAAAAACCCGGGCCGGGTCCATCTTTTCTCGGCTGAAACACTTTTCTTTTTCACAAAGAATGGTGAGATGCGTTAGACCGGGTAGATACAGCTCGGCTGTGGCCAAAGAGATTGAGAGTTCGAACGGTTGGGTCAAAAATAAAGGAAAAAAGTACAAAAAGGGAATAAGTACTCTGTCGGGTCAAAATCCTGCACCCGGCTTCTCTAGATCCCGTACAGCCCACGGTGCTTTTGGTACTGACCGGTCCCAAACCCAAAGGTCCCAATGTCATCAATCAGTTGGTGGGACACTTGGAAGAATCGGGTGCCGACCTTTCGGTCAGGAAGTTCCTGGGCAGCAAACTTCTCCAATTCCTGCGCAGCCCAAGCAGCGGCATGAACCGCCCGGTCGGAGTGCTCCCTCTCCAGCTCAACCCTTAGCTGGGCATTCTCATCCTCTAGCTGGCCCGTTCGCCCGGCCTTCTCCTCCAACTCGGCGATCTTCCGCTTAGCTTGCTCATCTCACTCCTTGGCGGACTTGAGCAAGCCCTCGTGCTTGGTGAAGAGACCCCGGTAGGCTCCGGCCTGTTCGACCAACTTCTCCTTCATTTTTTCGGATGCCAACCGGGCTGCCATTGCATCCTTCCGGGCGGCGACCATCATGGCCTCCATCCGGAGCTTCTCATCCGTCTAGGACCTGACCAGCCGGGTGGCCCACTCCAGCCCGATCCGGGAAGAGGAAACGGCGCGACAACTAGGCGGTGGCGTACCAGATTTCCGTAAAAACTTTCCCGCCAACCATACCCGAGGAATTCAAAATTCAAAATTATTCATACATTTGATTCCCGCCCTTGATGGTGCCCACAAAGCCGAGAATCGGAGGACTCCTTGATGGATATAACCCACTGGTACCACCCGGCAAGTTCACAGGCGCCCGGGGGTACCGAAGTCTGGCCCCGCCTGACCTCACCAACCCCAGTAGACTGACCTGGTGGATGTCGGTGGTCAGACATGTGAGATCGTGACTTCATATGCAGAGAAGGCTTGAAGACTGGCCGGCTTGAAGACTGCCCGGGTGGATGACTTGAAGACTCGTCGACTTAAAGATTGCCCGGGTGGATGACTTGAAGACTGGCCGGCTTAAAGACTGCCCAGGTGGATGACTTGAGATGAACAGTGATGGGTATTAAATCTGACACCCCATGACTTGGTCGACCCAGGCCGGGCAGTCTGACCGGTCAGGTACGAGAAGATTCGGAACCAAGAACATGACTTCGTCTGACAAAGGCATGCATACTGACCGGGTGAAAACTGACCGGGCAGAGGAACAGTAACGTCGAGACATGCTTGACGTGCTTAGTCATTATTATAAATATGACTAAAAGCCTCATTTGGGAGGCACGCTTTAATTAATCCGCACGGCTTGTAACTTTGTAATCGGTCCCTACATTATTAATAACTACTCGGGTTACAGGTGTATCCACCTACAACCCTTCCGCTCTTCGTAACTTAGCATTACGTTGGTTTTACACCATCATGGGTTGTTGTAATTGGAGGGAATTGAAAAATTCCCCCAAAAATTTCCCTCTTTATTGAGGGGTAATAGTCAATATGAGAATTTTTTTAAGGGACGGATGAAGTACATTGTTTTTTTTAAGTAAAAAAGAAATTGCAACAAATTTTTTTTAAAAAAATATTTAAAAATATGGGGTTATTGGGATATGGCCCAAAACAAAAACCCGAAATAGTTTTGAAATGGCCATTTGACCGTTGTGCCTGGCCCAAGTTCCCAGCCACAAACCCAAGGAGAACTAGCCGTTACTCGGCCTTTAGTTTTCAACTCTAACCGGCGGCCATTTTCACCCTTAATAATATCCCAACAACCGGAAAAAATCCAGAGAATTTCAATTTTCATCTAAGCCGAAATTGGGATCCTTCAGAAAGCTTCTCTGTATCGGGTTGAAAAGATCTAGTCAGTTCTTCAATTGGATCTGCGATTGGAGTTTTAGGGTTTCAAGAACACATGGCTTCAAGAATTGCATCCAAAGACATCATCACTCTTCGGGGATCAGCCGCCATTGTCAGCGAGTTCTTCGGTATGCAATTTGGTTATTCTAAGCCATTTTCTACTTCTAGGGTTTGTTCTTTCTTCGAATTTTGCCCAAATCTTGACTGGGTTTTCTCTGTTATTGTTGATTCATCGCTCATTTCCAGGTTATGCTGCAAATAGGTACGAACCGGAGAGATAGTATGGATAAAAAATGGATTTTTGAATGTTTTCTTGGCTGAAATTTTGATTTTGGTTTCTTCTGGGAATTCCTTTTGGTTAGCATTTTATACAATCGCGGAGTGTATCCAGAAGAGAGTTTTGCAAAGGTGAAGAAGTATGGGCTTCCAATGTTGCTCACTCAAGATGAAGGTGTCAAAGCCTTCATTTCCAACTTAACTGCCCAGCTTTCTGGTAACACATAATCATCCTCCAAGAAGATCTAATCTGGTTTTTTTTCATTGTTCGATTTGGCATAGTTTTTTCTAGTCAGCTTAAGTGAAATTCTTGATGTTTTTTCCCTTCTATGTTGTTTTTACTGATGATTTGATGTTGAATGTGGCAAAGAGTGGTTGGAAGCTGGAAAACTACAAAGGACTGTTCTTGTGATCATGAGTAAGGCCACTGGTGAGGTGTTGGAGAGGTGGAATTTCAGCATAGAGACAGACAGTGAGGTTGTTGAGAAAGGGTAATTTTGACAATATGCCTCTACACTCTCTTCTCGCTTCATTTGAACTTCCAATATGAGCTTCTACTACTACTTGTATAGATATTGGGTGATTGTTCATTTTTTCCCTTGCGAATTCGCAGCGTTCCAAGGGAGAAGAGCGACAAAGAAATCATGCGCGAAATTCAGGCCATCATGAGACAAATAGCTTCCAGTATCACATACCTCCCATGCCTTGAGGAACCATGTAATCCATTTGTTATTCAAAACAAACAAACAAAAAAACAAAATGAGACCAATTTCCAATCTGTTATTGCAAGATTTTGTGTTTCTGCTCGTATGTTGTTCTTGTAACAAACTTTTGGTTCTTTTCGTTTTGTTTTTCTCTGGTAATGCTCAGGCGTGTTCGATGTGCTGGCCTACACGGATATGGACGTTGCAGTTCCGTTCACGTGGGTAGAGAGCGACCCGAAACTCATAGAAAATCCACAGATGGTCAAGTTGCATTCCTTTGACACCAAGGTGCTGTGCCTGAAATGAAATAACCAATCTGCATATAAAAAATCTTCTGATTTTTTTTGTGCTAACTCTTTTAGGTTTTTTTCTTGTTGCATTTGGTGCAGATACATAAGGTTGACACTCTAGTGTCTTACAAGAATGATGAGTGGGATGAGGCTTGAAGTGAAAAAACAACAGCCTTTCTGAGTTTATGGTCTCATTTGTTGTTCATCTTCAAGTCTTGTTATTGTTTTGCCCTATTTGTTTCAAATCATGTGAATTATCAATTCACAGTTTGCTTGTTTGTACTATTAATGTGAGAACCCATTATCAATTCACATTATCCATTGTGTGTGTGTGTGTGTGTGTGTGTATGTAATGATTTTGTAGTTAAAGCATCTTTGGCATTGTTTTTTTAGCATTTATCCATAACTAAACTTGTTTGGTTTTAACAATTTCAAAATCATTCAAAAAATATTCAAAATGCTCCCAACAGTTTTTAACTTTAATGTTTTTTAAAGTTAATCTGCGCCATTTGAAATATTTTAAAAACACCAAGGCAATCATAAACAATGTTCTCAAACAAATCATGAATGAACAGCTCTTTAGGATAACTTTTTAGAGACAGCTTTTTTACATTGAAACCCCAAAAGGCAATCATAAACAATGTTCTCAAACAAATCATGAATGAACAGCTCTTTAGGATAACTTTTTAGAGACAGCTTTTTTACATTGAAACCCCAAAAGGCGACACAAACATCTCACTAAACATTTTCCCCCCTAAACACCTGAGTGACACTAACAGCTACAATCTGGATGACACCAGGCCAAAGTGTATGCATGTAACATATATATACACCACATTGTATAACAAGACAGTAAAAGTAAGTACAAAAGTTAATGCACGCCACGGTATAGAGCACCGGGGCAAAGCTCATCCATGCTATCGATATTCCGGTAATTGTCTCGTAGACATCTCCACCCACGGCGCGACAAGAATTCACGGAAGTCGTCCTCATTGTAGAACGTCTTTTCTTCTGTAGAAAATGCCACGTCCTCCGTGTCCTCGTACAAACATATTTTTATAGTTAGACCTGAAAATACAGAACCATATTTCATTGCTAGTCCCTTTTACCGGTGTTTCTTTTTTCAACCGTGCTACTTCAACACCACTTGGTGCACTGGCTTGGCACATACATGCACAAAATGTCAGTGCGATCACAAAATTTTGTGTTGTGCCAATGTGTTTTGTGCTCACTGGTGTACACCAAGTGGTATTCTTCTTTTTTATTTAGGGGGTGGGGAAGGGCTAAGTTGTGTACTCATACGGGGACGAGGTCGGGAACGGGGAAAAACCAGCTTTTCCAAATTTAACAAAGGATTTGCGTGTCGCGACATTCCCAAGTATCCAAACAGGGACATTTTGGGGACGAGAGGTGGCACTTATTTGAATAGTTTGTGCAAAGTAGGGGGTGGGAGTCAATACAATGACATTACCTTCATCAACATGCAAAGTGTAGTTCCCTAAAGGCATATCTCGGTCTAGTGCTCGGACTATATTGTCTTCATCTTCCAGCCAGAAGGCGCGCTTTGTCCTCAATCCAAAAGTAGATTTGATCGCTTCTTTAATGGCCTCTGCGGTTCCATCAATCCCGATTCTCTTGGTGTAATCCACCCACCTCACTGAAATCACTCTGCCCTCAAAGACATTGCCTTGATCACCTGAAGGGCAGAAAAAGGTAGAAAACTTCACAATTCCCAAACTAAATTCGTAGTTTGACTTCTTCACTGAGTTTCCGAAAAGTGCTAACAAATGAAAAGTATAGTAGACATTTGAATGAAACGGAAAGAAATGTTTTGAGCCACATATTTTTCCTAGAACAAGAAAGGTGAGAAGTGTGAAGTTTAATTTGGGTGTTTCTAAATTCACACCCCATTCAGCTATATCCACCCCCATTCATAAGACACTTTGAAGGGCAAACTTGTCTAGTTTTATAAATGAAGTGGATAGAGCGAAACGGGCCCTATTTTTATAAACCATGTTTCGAATCCGCGATAATAAAATTTTATTGAAGTAGTAATAATACAGTTCCAAAATATATATAAAATAAAGGCCCAACCATTTCCAGGAGTTCCTCTCCAATTCCAAGGCGAAACACCGCTGGCTGTAACAGCATCGGCGGCAATGGCCAGAGGATGCCCGTCATGATCTAAACGCCGTTCAAGGTTGAGAGTTGGCCTGCCACTGTCTGTACAAACACCTTTGAAGAAAACACAAGTTCCAATTTCACAACGCAATCCGTACTTAGGTTAATGGCATAAAATTAATGTTTCCGAGCACGTACCTTCAACTGGTCCGAATGTAATATTGGCATCATCTAGGCCTGCATGAGAGCGCAAACAAAGAATATTAGCTTAAAAATCAAAACAAGGTCTGAAGTGATAAATGTACAATAAATTTTAACACAAAAGGGTTCACGGAAAATTAATTCCATTGCAATCACAAGATTTAATATGAGTCGAAAACACAATGTCCCAAATAAAGATAAAAGACCCTTACGCCAGCTTCCACCAACTAAATTGACCATACTCTTATAACATTAACACTTGAAATACCTTATTATCAGTGCTTGTCTAATACTCATCCCCTTCACCGCCATTTTAACCTCAAATATACCACGAGCCGATGCCATGGAATTTATTGTGTCTTTTAATTGCCTAATGTGAAAAAACTATGCTCTCGTGCAAAACAAAAAAATGCTACCAAAGTCTCACATGCCCTGCAACCTTCTAAAGGAATGAAATGAGATGAAATGCCAAAGCTATCACACTTGGAGCATTAACATTTTGAACACCACACACATCAATACTAAAACAAAACCACCAAACTTGCTCAACTTAAAGCTTCCATTGTATCTAAANCCCCCCTCCCACCTTTCTTTATGCAAACAACATCCTTGACTCATGCAAATCAAGCACAATCACTCATCTAGAGACATTTTTAAATGGACCATGCTCTCATTTAAGGACAACATCCCAAGAAAAACAAATAAAACATACTCTCATTTCAAGAGAGCAGAAATAAATCTAACTCAAATTCAATCAGTTACACTAATTCCCATAGGCATTTTAACCATCCAATCAAAGTACCTAGAAATTATGAATTTCATCTAAACTACAACCCTAACCAACCAATTAGAGCACAAAATTAATGCAAGAACAACGGGTAGCAACCAACGATAGAATACCCTTTTCAGTGAAGTGCATAAAGGAATCAACTTTGGGAGCAGAAGGGCTCTTATGGACACCACCATTCTTGTTTCTGTCAATAAGAATTTCCTCAATCTCTTTGTAACAGGACATCTTAGCGGACCCATTTCGATCGTGGTTCTGCTTGGCCTTCTTGAATTCCTTGAGCAAGTTCCTCCACTTATCAGTGCACATGGTCGGCGACCGATCGAATCCCTTCTCCCTCATCTTCATGGAGATCCGATCCCAGAGGTGTCTGTTCGATTTGGAGGTGTTGAAGAGAGAGTCGATTTCCCTCCGGAGACTGATTAGCGCTAGGGTCTCGTCCAGAACCCATGTCTCCGCCCGTTTCTTGGGAGCCCTCAGTTCAGGCGACGGGTTCAGGGCGGCGTTGTCCTCTCCGCCGCTACTGGTGGTGTCCCCGCCGTTTCCGACGCTAGGAAGGAGAAGTGGCGGGCGATGGTTGGGTGGGAGCGGGACATTAGCGTCGGCGGCGACTTCCATGATTACCTCCCGGTGGTGGTCGGGGGCGGCGGACGCTGCATCTTTGTAGAAGTCGATGGGCTGAGGTTTTTCCGATATGTACATAGCTTGTGTGGCCGGAACTAGACTAGAAGCAGATCGACGGTGAAATCGTCGACCAATCTAAGATTCTTTGTGTCACAAAATATGTACTCCTACAAAACTATTACTCCATTGATTTATTAAAATTTGTTCACTTTCACCATTAATTAATTAGAATTTAAATGTAAATCTAAAAATAATTTTATTAAATTTATTTTGTAAAATATTACTTTATCTTATTAGTAGTGGTCAAATACCAATCTTGATCAAGTATAAAAAGTTAAAATTATATAGATACTCAATAATAGAAGTGAATTTTGTGTGTGTGCGAGTGTGTGTAAACCATAAGGTTATGATCTTTTTTCGTCTATCATTCGATCTAAGACCATTCGACTATTCTTCGATCCGTTCGCGAGGTGAGGGAGCTCGTGGCGTGCGGGAATCGAACATTGACTTTTCTCTCCACAGAGAAGCTCATTTTGCCACTCGGGCTACTCCGTTGGATTCTTGTTATTTACAAACTCGCTAAAAAATTACAATAATTTCAATGAATAAAAAAAGTTGAGATTAAAATTTATAAATGAGTAATTTGTATATTTTGCACTCCATAACTCTTTTATTTGTGACTTGAGAATTTCTCATAAATTAAATTTGAATTTCAACTTTAGTCATGATCTAAATTACATATACTCCATATATGTTTTAGATATTTAATTACAAATTCATACCCATCCCTTCATTCCCTTGTAACTTAATTACAATTTGTAATTTGTCTTTTTTTATAATGGCAATGAATTTTCTCTTTGGAAACTCATCAAATTTATGTGGCACAGACAAAGTTAGAGGTGCAGAGTGAGCTGAATTCAAACCAGAAGCTTGAGAAAATGTGACAATTTGCTCAATTTTCTCCTCTAAAAACGGATAAAACGCAGAAATAAATCTGTAATAATCCATTTAAACCCAAGCTTATTAATAAAGAGTGTTAATTTTTTGAAAATTTTCCCAGAATAATTCTAATATAATAAAGTTGAAGAAAGAAAAAAAAAAGGAGAAAACAATAGTAATTATATTGGCAAGCCCAGGCAGCAGCCATGGACGATCACAAGTCTGAGGGGCTGTCCTGGGCTGACCAGTGGGACCCGGAGCCGCTCCCGGCGGCGGGCGATGGCGGCCGGAGAAAGGGAAACCGGGACAATGCCGGCAAGAGCAACGCTGCAAAGAAGTTCTTGACCTTTCAATGGGTGAAGAAATTTGGCAAGAGACCTGCTGACAACAACAATAATTAATCGTGAGATAAATGAGACAAAGTATTAATATTAAAATTAATATTGATTATTATTAGTATTGTTCTTAAAAGTTAATTATATTTTCGGCCCTCTAAAATGACGTACTTTTGCTTTTAGTTTTCTAAAATATTTGAATTATATGTATGAACTATTGGGATTGCGCGTACTCTCATCCAAACCCCACATTAGTATGATTTTATCCGCTTTGTGTCAAGTTTCCCAAAAGGCCTGATACTGATATAATTAGGTAATCAGATAAATATTGGTTCTCTTTCATTTAACCCCCGGGATGGGAGGAAGTTTTCCGCCCAACACACCTCCCCTCAAAGTTATAACAACCACACAGCTCGTGACCTTTCCTTCAGCGATTATCCGTTTGATCTGCACACCAACTTGCACCCGCTACACACCTGCGGGACATGTCGTCTAATCTCTTCTTGTCGGGGAGACTTTCGTCATAAGGTATACCACTGACCCCCAATTCGCTAAGGTCACACCATTTGATCTGCCAAATTATCTTGTACCACCTTTAACACCAAACGGGACACGCCGCCCGACCACCACTTGTCAAATAAACTTTTGACGCATGATTCTTCTTGAACATTATGAAAGCTCGTGGAGTCTTTATAGAAGATTCTAGAGATATAGAGATGGGTGAAGTATTTTAGAGTAGCCTAACATTTTTGGTGATGAGTATAAATAGGGGTGTATGTGTATGTCACATTTGACAATCCAAGAGTGAGAACTAATAAGACTTCTTGAGAGTGCTTGTGAGTGAGATGTAGAGAAGTGTTCCCAAAACAAAGAGTAAAGTGCGCTACTTGTGTAATTGTAGTCTCTCTTGTACATTTCTCGATATTATACAAAGTCGTTTTCTAAAGTCGTGCCTCTGTTTTATTGATTGTGTGTGTGGGTGTACAAGAGTCTAGTTGTGTGAATCGAAGAAAAAGACCGAGACACATATCATAAGTCATTAGTGGATAAATAGTACGCGAACTTTCAAGAGTTACAAATTAGTTTTTGTGGTCAAAGAACCGTTGCAAAATCAATCTCTTTAATAGAGAATTCGCAAAATGTGCACAATAGGCGCATATTATGTAAGTATGTGAAACATGTAACAATAAAAAAAGATAATCTAAAGTTTCAGTTGTGATGTGTAAGTTTAAATCGTAATGAAATATCTTCGATCACTTGGTTTAACTCTCCCCACTTCTTCATATCTTCAACTGCATTATTATTCTAGAATCATAAAATAATGTTTTATAAGTTTGACATTATTTTATTTTTCAAGTAGCTTTATTATATTCTGGGGTAATATTGTATGATATAAGAGTTGGAAAAAGACTATTCCTTGGCTCCTTGGCTTTAAACATGAAGACGAGAGCAATTTCATCAAGTTAACTTTTTTTTGTTACATACTTTACATTTTGATATAATACGCATCACAGGACTAATTTATAACTTTTAAATATACAAAGACTATTTACCTATTATGGAAGACCACAAGACTATTTATGCATATAGATATAGTCCTAAATATTTTATAACTAATTCATCATGTAAATTGTACTCCATATTTTTTTTTCTGCAAATGGTCCTTGCACCAATTTAGAGTTAATGCGTCAGGGTATACAAGGACGCAACATGATATCATTTTTTACTTCAAAATATTTGAGAGAGATCAAAATAAAATTTTAAATTTTATAGGGACCAAAAATATATTCAACATTAATTCAAAATTAAAAAGATTAAGGGGGATCGGAGGAGCATAAAAAAACATTTTATATGAAAAAAAATATGAAGAACTTAAATCAAAGAATGGGATTGAGCACTAATCAGAAAAGGAAATGTTTGAAGCCAATGATGATTTTGAATTTTGACTTTTAATTTGTTTCACTAGCTTTTATACGGAGCACGTAGCACATTTTGATTGTATCATTTATGTCAAATTGTATTGTGGTCTTTAGCTACAAGTTAATCTTATACTCCCTCCGTCTCAAAAAACATTTCTCCTTTCTTTTTTCATTCGTCCCAAAAAACATTTCTCATTTCTATTAAAAAGTCACTTTTACCCCTTACTTTTTCATACCCTACCTATCACATCATACCTTTTTACTAATAATCTATCCATCAAATCATACTTTTTACCCATCACATCAAATGACATTTTTGGAAATTCAATACCAAAATATACTCTCCTTAAATCTTTCTCCAAAACCAAAACTCCCATTTTTCCGGGACGGATGGAATAGTATTGACATAAAATCATTAATACATACTCGAAAGGGAGAAAGACCAAACTAGGACTAAAACATTAAAAATATACCAAAATAGGACTTCCATGTTTTTATTTCCGAAATAGGACTTACATTACCAAACATGGTCATATACATTACCAAAAAAGTATAGTAATTTACACATGTACACTGCCACATTACCACAGTGCCAAGTCCTATTCCGGGAAAAAAAACATGAAAGTCCTATTTTGATATTTTTCTCTATGTTTTAGTCCTATTTAGGATAATTTCTATACTCGAAAATGATTATATGTATAACATGGTACACACGAGAGTGAATGTGACAATCATAGGCCAAATCATTTTTGAGGACAGGGGTCAAGGTCAGTAGTGAGGTCTCGGCTCACGGTAGTAAGGTCCTTACAGACTATACTGAGGTCATGGGTAATCGTTTCAAATTTTCTATTTTGGCCCAAATCCTTTTCGATTTTGTTTAAAGTATTTGAGTATTTGAAAGAGATTAAATGATGGTTTTGAAAATGTTTGTGAGTACATTTTGAGCTTATGAATATTCAAAGTGTAAATAACTTCGAAGCGTAATATAGTTTTGAAAAATTATCTAACGATACTGTTTAAATGTGACGTTTTTAACGGTAATCAAGACTAATAATTTTTTTCCAAAATGCTAACATTAATAAAAACTACCAACAATAGTTTTTCATTACAATTCTGAGGTGTTTTTCTGTATTAGTGCATATTGGCTTATTGCTGATAAAAAAATTTTAATTTATAAGTTGCTTATAAGTTAAGTTCTTTAAAGAAAGTAAAATGCTTCAAATTAGAGATGAGTTATTTGAAGAATATTCTTAAAAGGTGAGAGATCGTTTTATAAATTAAATAATCTAATCAAAACGGAAAAACGAAACAACTGACTTTACGAACAACTTATAGATCGACTTATAAGCATAGAAAAATACGTCATCGAATAACTTATAGACGGTTTTCAAAAAGAGGAATGCTAGGTAAACACCACTTGGGGTACACCACTTTTACATCAATCTAAAATCAGGCAACACAGAGCATGCACGGACATCAAGTGTGTATGTGTGCCTATTCTTGGCTTGGTGTACATGTGGTGTACTCCTAGTGATGTTCACCAAACATTTCTCATTCAAAAAAAGGAGTGCTAGGTGAACACCACTGGGAGTACATCAAGCTAAAAATAGTCACACATAGATACTTGATGTCTGAGCATGCACATACATTAAACATTCATGTGTATCTATTTTTTGTTTGATGTATATGTGGTGTACCCCAAGTGGTGTTCACCAAATTCAAAAAGAGCACAAATGTTTGGAGAAGTGTTACATGGATTGACAATGGCAAGACAAAAATAAAATGTCACACGGTGACATGAATTATTTCAACCAATAAAAAGTAACCCAGTCTCCATGTGGGTATAAAATGATTTTACTATTGCAATTATAAAATGATCGCGTCTCAATTTCAAAGCCACACGTCGTCGCTATTTTATTTTTTTCCATACAACTTTTTTGCTTGCTTCTATATATGTATAAAATGCCTTTTAGTATATATAGGTTGAGGCCATGGAAATAACAAATTAATTCGGCAAAAGGAATTTTATATATTTTTATGGNAAAAAAAAAAAAAAAAAAAAGTGGTGAGAAATGGGGAGCAGCCAATTGGAACCAGCAGGTTATAGGTTTCCAGCACAGGCCCAAGAGGAGCCAGGCAAAGAATATTTGATGCACCCACTCCCTCACTCCTTCAACCCTAACTATAACCCCTCCTCCAAGCTCCAAGTAATTTTATTTTCTTATTTTTTAAAATTTAATCTTTCATTTTCAACAATCCATGTTTTTTTATTTTAGTTTTTAGATATAGCTTTTTTTTAAAAGAAGAAGAAGAAGAAGTGTGAACACCAATTACTCCTGGAATTGCACGATTTTTTATGTTAATTTTCTTGGGATTTTCTGCTCTCGTAATTGATATACTATCTCTGTCCCAGACTATTTGTCCATTTTGATTTTTTCGAGTCAAACTGGAAAAACTTTGATCATCGTTTAAATGAAAGATGCAATCCATGTTAGTACAAAAAATGGTTTCATTAGATTAATGGGTAATTTACACAATTAGGACTTAAACATATCACTTTTCGCTAAATAGGAACAGTCCTATATTACTCTAACGTTTGGCAATGAAAATTTCTAAAACATCATACCTTTGAGAAAAAATGACTTATTATAGAGTTCAAGTAAAAAAGACATTGCAAAAAACAATTTGAATAGTCATTATCCAACACTTCTTGCTAATAAATGCATATATGGCAGATCATATGAAATTACGTGTCATAAAGGGAATAAAACATATTTGGTCTTATTCGCGGAAACGTACAATCTTTTAGTCATATATGGAGCAAATTTTTCTAGATTAATCTCGCGAAAGAACTTTCTAAAACTTATTTCATTATACTAATATGCAATCCGAATTTAATGTAACAATGTAAGCGATAATTATATTTTGTCCAATTTGAGTCAAAACAAGACAAACTAGGCGAATTCTCTGGGACGGAAAGAATATGTTTGGGTGCAACTGTGTCATTTATTGAACCTATGGGAATATTATCGTGAAATTTTCAATTTTGTTAGCCGACCCCACCTAGTGGGATAAGGCGTTGGTGTTGTTGTTAATGATGAGGAAATTGTGTAACAATGACAGGGGTAGGTAGCCCTAATAACAGGGGGTGACTCAGGCATAGGGAGGGCAGTGTCCTACTATTTCACATTAGAGGGTGCAACTGTGGCCTTTACATATGTTAAAGGGCAGGAGGTTGAGGACAAGGACCAAACTCTCAAGATATTACATGGAATTAAGGCACAGGGAGCAAAAGACCCAATTGCCCTTCCCACTGATGTTGGGTTTGAAGAGAACTGCAAACAGGTTGTTGACCAAGTTGTAAGTGAATATGGGCAAATTGACATTTTGGTTAACAATGCTACTGAGCAATATTATTCCACTACCATTGAAGATGACCCATGTCTAGAGCTGACAAACATGTCGGTCACGTCTAGTTCGGGACTGAGCGTGAATTTACCATCATATCTATTCAGTGTAAAAGTTAAAGTTAACTTCACAAGGACATGACGGTAAATTCACATTCGTTGCCCAACTCATTTCCTAACATTTTGAGTGACCCATATATAGAGCTGGCAAAAAGGTGTGTCAGGTCTAGTTTGGGTCCGATCCATTTGGATTCGGATTACTTCGAGCAAATTCGGGTCCGGGTTGGAAAAACTTTAACTTAGTGGGCCGGTCTGGTCGGATTTGACCCATTTTCAGTATGTCATTTCGGGTTTCGTTAACAATTTTTTTTACAAAATCCAATATTTTCGGGTCAGGTTTGCTTCGAGGCACATGAAGGAAGGGAGCTGCATCATAAACACAGCATCACTTGCAGCATATCAAGGGAATCAAAACCTGTTGGACTACAGCTCAACCAAGGGAGCCATTGTCGCGTTCACGAGGAGCTTGTCGCAGCAACTTATAAGCCGAGGAATACGCGTGAACGCGGTGGCCCCCGGTCCGGTCTGGACGCCGCTGCAACCGGCGTCCACGCCTGCGGAGAAGATTGCACAGCTTGGAAGTGAAGTGCCCTTGGATAGGGCAGATGAGCCTTATGAGATTGCCCCTTCTTATGTCTTCTTGGCTTCCAATGATTGTGCTTCCTACATCACTGGCCAAGTTGTGCACCCTAATGGTATATCTTGCAGTGGTAAAAAAGATTTTGCACCCTAATATTTACACGGTGGGGTTCCAATGACATTAGAACCCCATGTCATGTGATGACTACCCTATTCGTAAAATTGACGCTTCCTACCCCTTCTAACCCCCCAGTAAACCCCTGACCCCGCCCCGTCCCGAACACACTTTCCCACTCCTTCAATTGCACCCCACAAGTTGATTCATATTTACAAAAGTGTCACTTCAATTTTCAAAATTTTAGTGTGTTTTTAACTAGTTGTAGCTTGAAGTAGTAGACCTGATAATCAGGTCAACCGGTTTAGCTCTGGTTCTGATTTGTTATAACCAGGTTTGAAATGTATTTTTATTTTTTTTGGTCATTTCAAGTTATTTGATTCGGATAACCAATTTCAAATCTGTATTAATCCTTAATTTCATGTCACACATAAGCTATATCTATGACTTATAAATTGCTTTTATTTTTGTGAATTAAAAAAATGATTTTACTATTGCAATTAACAAATGTTTTGATGTTGTTGGTTCTACAGGTGGTTCCATTGTGAATGCTTGATCAAGACACCCAAAATATTTTCTCCGTTTCTAAATAATCGTCTATTATAATATTAAATAAACATTAAAATTTGAATGAATGTAGACAAACATTATGTCTACATTTATTTCATTCTTTATGTATCTAAAAAGTCACAGTGGATGCTCCACAGTTATTTATGTCTCAAGGATTGTAACAAGACTTTTATATTTCTTTTGTCCAACTTACAAATTACAATAATCCCCAAGGCAACGTTGGATTTTAAAACCCCACTAACTTATTTGAAAATCCAAACAAGATTACAGTAAAATGTATTCCTAATAAGATTAAAAGATGAAAGGTTTCCCCAATTAAAGCTCTTTATGTTTTTTTTCCCTTGGTTTAGGACTTCTTTTGTAAAAGAATACCCCAGTATTTCCTTTATTAGTTTATTAGACGAGAATTATTACTCATTTTTCACTCTTGACCCATATTCTTTTTGAATTTCTTCATAAACGTCACGGTCTTCGTATACAATGTATTCCACATGTTGTCCAATACATAAGTTTTTGCTCATATTCACGATGACCTTATGCATCAAAATGTCATGTGTGAGCGTTTAACGGCAATAACGTCTTAAGAAAATAGTGTCTTAAATTATTTTAATATGCTTGTATATAACTTAATACCCTCATATGCAATGCTCACACATGTTCTTTATATTTTCCTATAAATTCATATGCATAAGTGATGACTTTATTTTGTGAACGTCAATAGCCAGTAGATATGTATGTCATTGCCTAATCGCATATTACACACTATTATTTAAAAAAATGGCACGATTCTTTTGACCTTAGGTTCTCGAATCATATTATGACCCGAGGCCCCTACGATGCTCCATTCGTAAAATTGATGATTCCTACCCCCTTAACCTTATCCCCCTACTCTCTACCTGCCCACCCCACCCCAACACCCTCCCCTTCCATTCGTCGATTGGGGGAGGGGGGCAGGAGGTGCTAGGGTGAGGTTGGCCGGTAGGGGCAGAAGGTAGGCTTTAGGAGGATTAGAGAAGTAGGAACCATCAAGTTTTTGAATGGAGTACCGTAAGGGTTCAGGTCATAATATGACCGTGGTTACAAGGTCAAAAGATCCCCGAAAAAAAAAATAATGCCTATGACACTACTGACCAAAACTTTATTGCCCAAAATTGATGGCCAAATTACCAATGTGGTACTACTCCATAACACACTGCCTTTCGCATGAAAGCCCAGAAATTATTTTAAATTTATTTTCTGATGGAAACATTTTTGTAACTTTCTAGCACCATTCAGTAGTGTAAGTAGCACTCTTATACAATATGTAAATTATCCATATATATTTAAATGAGACTTTAATCTATATAAAATAACACATGGTGTTACATATGTGACTTTTTTCAATATGTAATATGCTACCTAATTTTATGAAACAAGATATGATTGAACTCTAAAAGTGTTAACATTATGCATTTGCTTGGTTAAACTAAACTTCAATAAAAGTTAATTGTAGTTTTAATTAGAAAATACTATACAGAACAAAACTGAAAATAAATACTTGTAGACAAGAAAAGACTCAAGAATATGACAATGACAAGTTGAAAACTGAAAAGCCATGAGATTAATTAGTAAGGAGATCCACATTACCAAAAAAAACCATTAAAATCATTCAAGTCTTGTTTTTTTTCATATTAATTTTAGCTGAAGTCTAATAACTAGAAATCTTTAACTAAAGTCAAGTAATAACACCCTTAAAATGCTTTATTTGCTTGAGTTGCTTGCGTTAATATCAATTTTTGTTCATTAATTAATTAGAACTCAACAAATCATACTCTAACATAAATAATTGAAGAGAAAAAACAAAACTATACACAAACAAAACATTTGGATTTCAACATAATAAAGAGGGCACAAAACTAAGAGTAAGAATTGAACACTAAAATCTTGTTCACTAATTTCACTAGAACACAATTTACAGACACAAAATGGGTGGGAGAGAAAATGGCTTCATGCTTACACACATACACACAAATGGTATATAAATATGTATACAGATTTTAGAATCCCTTCATTTTATAGGAAATGTCATTTATTTAAAACGTAAACGGAGTCAACGAGCTTTTTCATGACTTTTATTATAGCACACTAAATTTGCAAGTAGTATTTTGCACATAAAAAAATACCTTATTAAGATTTGAGACTCCCCCACGAACGCTTCCATCTAGCCGCGGATGCAAATGTTTTGGCTAAACTCACATGGATTGAGATGCATGTGTGAGCCACCAACATCCCCCTCACCTTGGTTCTCCATGCGATTGAAACAATCGGCGCAGACTTTTTCAAGGTAAAAGGTTTCTTCGTAGGGGCCATCATCGAAGCACTTGCCACACTCAATGCACCTCGGGATGCAAATAATGCAAGCCCGGCATTCTTGAGTTGAAGAGTCTTTTGCCCGGCAAACCTCGGATGGGCAATGGTACACGAGCCGTATCTGGTCACACTTTGGGCAAGGTTCAATGTCAAGAGGACGGTCATCGTCACACAAGCGATAACGACTCCTCCATGAATAAAAATGTGGGTTGTGATCGTTTTTCTGGTTGAGGCTATCTGCACGTAGCACGGTCATTAACCTTTCATAATGTTCATGAGTCATTCCGTAAAGGCCACCGACTCTCAGGTGCCTTATGCGACTTCCCTGTTTTGAGTTAAAAGCCTCTAAAATGTTCATAATGCCATTGATGCTTAGTCTTGTGCATCCAGGAACACAGAGCTGCAGAAAGAGGAAAAAATATCATAACCTTAAATTACTATGTGCAAGTTAAAGTGTTTGACACACTTGCAAGTGCAATCTCTGATCCAACAGAAGATAAGTTAACATGATGGAAAGGCATGCATGGCAACTTAAGAAAAGCAAGACATAAAATTGTTCCCAGAACAAGAGTCTGACAATGTATGTGTGTGTGTGTGTGTGTGTATACACTAATGGTTTTATAAGATATTGAAACAAACCTAAAAGCTTTTCCAATCCCATACTGAAAATATTTAGATAGTTCATTCATGTACTGAATAGTATAATAGCTGGTAGGGTAAAGAAAAATCACACATGAGCTTTATTAACATTATACTCCGTATTAATATTTAGCTATTTTATTTCATAATATCAGTTGTTTTTTCAGAATTAGGTTTATTGTTACTTGATGAATTGATGGTTAAGTAGTGCATTCTACTAGGAGACTGCATTGACGCTAATTTATTATTAGCTGAAGGTTAAGCTTAGTATTAGTCTATTATACATTTTTACAGTATCCGTTTTGATGTCTCTTTGAATTTTGATAGAAAAACTAGAAATCTTGTGAACCGGTTTTTGTAACTTGGTGGCTAAAGTCAGGACGATTGATCAGGTTGGAGAATCTTGTGAGCAAGCACCAGAAATTCAACAATTATTTGGCAAATTTAATGTTTTAGTGTAGATGTGTGGCCAGCCCAATGCTCACCACCCATGAGAGATAATCAGCATGCCATTGATTTGGTACTGGATGCTCCTTTATCAAATCAAACAGCTTATCAAAATCCACAAAATCAGTGTGTTGACTACTGAAATGTGAAGACAAGTTGTTGACTAAGGGTTTGGTGTGTGAAAGCTTAAGTCCACATCCGCGCCCAGCCTTACAGGAACCAAAAAGGACGGTGTGTGGAGGATGCGTGTGCAGTAGAGCAATTAACAGTATTATTACAAAATACCAGTTTCCCATTCCTTGGTCAAGTGATATGCTGGTCGATCAATTTGCAGGTTCAAAGGTGTTTTTGAAGATTGATTTAACAGAGGGCACCCATTGAGAGATGAGGATCAGTGGAAGACAGATGGTCTTTATAAGTGGTTAGTGAAGCCTTTTGGCATCTCAAAGACTCAAACGCACCAAGCACATAAACGTAAGTTGTGAAGAGGTAATCAATCCATTCTTGAATTCTTCAGTTGTCATTTATTTTGATGACATATTAATATATAGTTAGAGGAGGAACATCTATATCACTTGCAGCAAGTACTGGACGTACTTAAAAAGGACCCTTTTTTATCAATTTGAAGACGTGCACTTTCTAGTGTAAGGTTGTGTTGTTGGGGTTCGTCATCACTGCTGTTGGCATTGAACTATTAGAAAATCCCAAAATTTTAGAGACTTTATAAGCTTCTATGGGCTGGCTTCATTTCGTAAAAGGTTTATCATGAATTTCAGGACTATTCTGGTCCCTATTACAGGACGTCTGAAGAAAGAAACCTTTCAATGGCCAGAATGCTTTGCAGATGGTAAGAGTTTGATGAAAGCAGCACCTATTTTTACACTAAAAATTTTTCTGAAGTTATTAACCATTGCAAGTGATGCATCTCAAAAAGAAATTAGGGATGTTTTCATCCAAGATGAAAGGCCTCTTGTTTTTTTCCAGCAAGAGAGTATCTGATGCTGAAGGGCATCATTCCACTTATGACCTAGAGGCCTACGCTTTTGTGAGAACCACTCAACATTGGGTGCATTACTTGGATTATAAAGAGGTTGTGGTTAACTAAGCTCATATTGCATCACAGTTTTTGAATTTTTATAAGGAAAAAAAACTCAAGGATTGACATGCTAGGGGCCGTTTGATAGAGTTGAAAGAAATTGAACTGAATGGTAGTCCATTAAAGTGAATGATACTGGATTGGGCAGAACTGATTGTAGTGTAATATTGAACTAAGCAATGCTGAACTGAACAGTGCTGAAATTAAGTCGGACTGAATAGCCCCAAATTCAAGTTCCAACCTTAATAAGCCCAACTGAACAAGTGAACAGCCCCAATACAAAAGATAGTGAAGGTTTATGACTCATTTTTTGCTGTGGTGGATCGTTTTTTCAAAGGTTGAAAAATTCCCTTCTTGTTCAAAAACTTTGATGCTACTCATACAGTCATATTTTTGCAATTTTTCAAGAAGAAAAAAAATACTGTACTACATGGTGGGCATAAATCTTTAGTTTCTGCTAGAGATGTCTAATTTGTAAGACACTTTTGGCGGACTTTGTGAAAGAAAAAAACAAACCCACTTGAAGTTTCTCCCGCACTTGTCATCCA